TTTTTTTTTTTTTTTTAATTAGATACAAAACAAATTTGTTACTTCATAAAAAATATTTCTTTTATAAAGATTCGGTAAAATTATTAAGAAAAATTTTTTAAATAATTTCACACGTATATTATCCACATAAATTTATGTTTAAATTATACTACTTTCTTCGAAATACTTTGTAAAAATATGAAAACGTGTTCTTCGAAACGTGCTAATTCATAGATTCTACTCGTGCGTGCTGTCACCGTGCCAAAAGCTCTCATTCTTTGGTCATTCTTCCTTTCTCCCCACCATGTTTATTTCTACGAATGCCAGAACATTACTATACTCGAAAAGAATGATAAGTTTACTGTTTATGATATAATTATGGTTCCTCTCTTGTATAATTTTTTCCTCTTCACTGAAGTAAGTAAACAAGAAAGAAAATGAATATCAACGACAACGTTTTGTTCAGTTAGTAAATCGTTATAACACCCGCAAGGATGGTGAAAACCTAAGGAGAAAATCTTTTAGATGCCACCACGACGACCACGATATATTTAGAAACTTAGCCGCCATCGAGAAGTTTGTCGCATAAGATTAAACTGACATAGATTTTCAAATGACACGTTCAAAAAAATTCTCGCTCATTAGAAATAAATAAATTAAAATATAAATAACTATATAAATAAATAAATAAATAAATAAGTACAACAATCAATCAAACAATTAAAAATTATTTATGAAAATCTCATTCATTTTTCTCTCTGTTTTAATATTTTCTCTCAAATTAAATAATTTATGAATAAACACAAATTAGATAATCATTTGAATAAAATATTTAAAAACGTTAATTTATTATCTCATAATAAAAATTACTTTATAATCGTTATAATGATCCTCTAATAAATCTAAAAATATTTAACATTAAATAAATAAATGAATATAAGAAAACTCTCTCTACACTTACCTTTTGTGTTATAAACCAAAATGAAGTTTATGAAAGACGCTCTTTTGAGAGAAGAAGCTCGCGCGTTACAAACTTCTAAATCCGCACGGTATCTTGTCGAGAGTTTTAGTTAGCGCATGCTCAGTTAAATATTAACCCCTTCCAATGATTTTCTTCATACGTTTTGTCTCTAACAAAATGATGTCTCTTTTTTTAACGCTAGATGACGCGATTCTAATGACGTTAAACATTAGAATGTTGATTAAACAAAATTGTTAAACATTTAATAAATTTCTTTTTTATTTTTAATTAACTTCTGCCTGCAACAAGTCATGTTCATTCAAACGAGAGTGAACAATTAATGAGAAATTTCTAGGAATTTTTAACGAGTTTTAAGTCACACGTAAATGCGTTGACAAGTATAATCAAAGTAATTTAGGGTGTGGCATATTAAATAGTAAGAAAAAAATACAACACGAAAAGGATCGTGCATAATGGGATTGTAAAGGTGCGGAATAAACGATTTAATAAATGTTTCAATTCAACTTTACATTAATAAAGTAATCACTTTTTTTTCTAGATCTAATAACGATCATCAATTAAATCATTAAAAATAACGAGACAAGAAAAAAAAGTAATAATTATAAATGAGATGAGACAATAAATAAATCGTGTTCGTAGATTTTTTTTTCGTTTCTTTTGTTTCATTTGTTTTTTTTCGAGAACGTCACGAATGAGAATATACAGACGAATAGTTTATTCACGTTTAATACGTTACTTCGTAGTACATAATTTGCTGTTGTTGTTCTTGTTGTTGATGATGATGATTTATTTATTTCTTTATTTTTTTTTTTTTTTTATATAAGAAGTATATAATCAATAGCTTCATGACAAAATTGTACGACGTTACGCGAACGCGATTGTAACAAGTACGGAATACAGACGATATTTACAGGTGCATATTTAGTGTAAACTTATGCGTGTGTATGTAATGTGTATTGTATGCGTGTATACATGTGTCGTTTGTTTCTTAATTTCTCTCATTCTCTTTCTTTCTCTTTTTCGTTTCTTTGTACATAAAAACGACTCGTTATCTGATTGATCGATTGATTTATTTATTTATTTTTCGTTTAATTTTTTTTATTTAATAATAAAAGATCTCGTAAATTTGATTAGATAAGTAAAAAGGGTGTGACTTGCAAGCTTTCTTAAAAATGTCTTCCAAAGTGTTACGACGAGTCTCTATTTTTAAACCTTGACTCTCTCGCTTTTATATATCCAAGTTCAAACGATTGATCAAAAAAGAAGTATAGTGTAGTTCTTAGTTTTTCTTTTGTTATGTGTATGTTAAACGCACGCGTGCAAGATTTCAAAAAAGAAAGAAAGAGCCCGAGTAACAGGAAATTTATTTTAGTTCTCTCTTTTCTTTTTCTATCTTTATCTCTTTGTCTCTCCCTCTTTTCTTTATTTTGTTTTTTTTTTTTTTCAATTGAAAAATCATTATTTATTCGATAAGCTTGACGAAAAAGTTTATCGTAATATTTAATTACATGCATTTTAAATCTATCTAACGAGATGATGACGGAAGACGGAAATTAATACTGCTTGGTTCGTTAAAGTTTTGTACAAACGTTTACGACAAACGCAAATTAAATGAAATTCTTTATCTGAATTTGATCATTTTTTCTTATATTTTTATTTTTTTTATTTTTTTAATACTTCTTCCTTACTATCATATTTTTTCTTCCTGTCGAACAGTACGTGAAAAACATTTCATCCTTTTTTTCTTTTCTTTCTTCTTCTTTTCGTTTCATTCATTTGCTTATTTACTTTTTATTTTTCTTATAGATGCTTTTTTTCACTCTCATCGGCAGGTGCAACGAACAAAATATTTATTATTACGTTAACAATAAATTCAATGAAATAGAAAAAATGTGAATGATTACAGAATCATTATTTTTTACAAATGTTGACTATAATTTTTTACAGGAAAAAAAATGAAGAAAACATTTATTATTCTAGCCTCCAGCCGTTGAAAGTTTTTTTTATACTTATTTTTATTTTTATGCTTATTATTTTTTTTTGTCTTTTTTATTTTTATTTTTCTTGTCAGAAGTAAACGACAAACGTAGATTGTGAAACAACTCGCGGACACGACTCGTACTTTTAGCCCACATAGATTCGAGAATTTATACAAATTTGAATGATTAATGAGAATAGGAGATATACAAAAATGTTTGTTATTGATTTTTTTGTTTTGTTTTAACGTTATCTACAGATGATTATAATATAGAACCACCTGATCGATACACCTGATTCTTCGCGTTGCTTGACCTTGCGATTTTTGCGAATTATTTTCCATGAATACTATCGTATTTTGCGAGTGTAAAAAAAAGATTGAACGTGTTTTTCTTGTAAAACACAATGAAAGTTTAACGTTCGATCTTTTTATCATAAATTTCTTATCGAAATCGTATTCGTTCACAAATATTTTCTGAATATCTTTTGTACAGAACAATCGATGCTATATAATATTTATATATTTTTTTTTTAATCGGCTTAAAAATAAGAACGTTGATGTCCTAAATCTCAACGATCATCGTTTAACGTTACGATAAAATAAATTGTCGTGATTTTTCGTAACAATATACAATAATTATTCGTTACAACAACAATGATTAAACTTTGATTAAATTAAACTACGAGAAAATACAAAAATTAAATTAAAGTTTGAAAACATTTTAACGCAACGATCATCGTCGACGATTGAAAATCATCAATAATTAATTTAATTTATTCTGTATACAAACGAAACAATCAAATAGTCGAATCTATTTAAACATAATCGTTTCTTATAATCTGTATCGAACTATTCCTTTCTTTCTCTCTTTCTCCCTCTCTCTCTTTCTCTCTCTCTCTCTCTCTCTCTCTTTGGCAATTATTTATAAAAAAATCAGACGTATACATAAAAAGAGAGAGAGAGAGTGATAATTGAATCCAAATTCGATGATGACATTTCGTTTAGTATTATTATTATTATTATTATTATTATATTATTATATTATTAATATTATTATTATTATTATTATTATTTGTTTTCTTGCCTCTGATTGAACAACCGATTATTACCACACAAATTACACAGCCACGAAAATCCACAGACACAAATGAACGATACACGGACACGAAAAATGAGAGAGAAGAAACTTCATTTTTGTAGTAAGTCGTTGTCTTCTTCGTTCACGTTAAAGGTGCTTTTCCAACGAAATGAGTGTATCTGCTACATGCGGCATAACCACCCTCCTCCTCCGAGAGGATCGAAAGATTTGAACGTTGTCGTTGCCGTTGCGTTTTCTTCGATATTTTCTTATTGCCATTGCCGCAATCCAATGCGAAACGTAATTCGGTCGCCATTTCGGAGCACATCGATTTCTGTAAAATCGACATCAAAGTGAATTAAAATCTATTGAATTATAAATTTGAATAAAAAAAAAAAAAAAGAATTAATAATAATATTACATTTGCAAAATATTTCATCGAGACAAATATTCGTAATCGTGCGAGAGATAACAGCATAATTAAGTAATCGTAATACATGCAGAATCGAGTAATATATTTATATGTATTTATAAAATCGATAATCGATTTATCGATATATCGCGAAAGATATAAACGAATATTCTCAATCCTTGCAGGTAAAGGAAGAAGAGACAGCGCATATCGTGCAGAGCCATTAAATACTGGAATTAAAATGACATAGACGCAATAGAGATGCAATATAGTTGTTAATTAAATGCTAAAAAGAGAAAGATATATAAGAAACAAATTAATATTATATTATAGATAAGTATATAAATGCAAACGGGAAGCTAAGCAGAACCTTCGTACATGCATGAAAATTAATAATTAGCCATAACGAAAGTAATTATTACAAATACATAATCAGCATCCTCCTGAAAAGATAGAGAAAAGATATTTTACGTATTTCTTTATTCGTTTGTCTTTTTTTCTTTTCTTTTTGTTTATTTTCTTTTGCTTTTTAAAGTAAAAAAAAAAAAAATAAAAAAAAAATAAAAATAAAAGAAATGTTATAAAGAAGATTGAGCAATGAGATACAAGAGAAAGATTCGATGGATGCACAGCGAGCGACACACAGCCCACAAAAAAGATAATATTTTTTTTTTTGTTAATAGATGAATTTAAATTGGCTCACCTCCTGCGAATCCGTGACGAAAGAGGGAGGCAAGAAACATTGCGACACAACTAACAATGTCATACTAAATTGTCAAACGGTTTAGTTTCCGTCTTATTACCGCCACAACTATTACCATCATCACTAGCACCGAACCACCACTACCATCCCTCACCACCATAACCATCACCTTAATTCCTCACATTAAACTTAATCGCGAACTTAACCATTATTTTCATCGTCATTATCATTTATCATTCAAACACTTAATAATCTACTTTTGCTTGCTATACCGACTTTAGACTTTTTAATTACAATAATTCGTATAATACAACGTGTTTATGAGATTCGAGACATGAATTAGTGTCTATTTTTATAGATTAACGGATTTCCTCGGAATCCGTGAGCTTCTTTCTCTCTAACATCACCCCCCCCCTCTCCTCTCTCTCCATCACCTAACTCGTCAATGAAACATTCGTTCCTGCATCTTTCTTCTTTTTCTTCGTTTTTTTTTGTGTATTCATTATTTTAACATTCAACCCCCAACTCCGAAATACGAGAAGCGGACGGACTCCCACGAATTACAGCGATAAGCCCGTAATATGACTACACGTTATTTACAATAAAACGCTTCGATAATCTGACGCTATATATTCACTATCTAATTGGTATAAAATCGTGATTGTTTGTTTATTTAATATAATAGTCCTCGAAAATAATGAAATTAATTAATTAAATATATATATCGAAACAGAAATGATAATATAATATTCTTTTGCGCGAGAGACGATGACCTTCCATTTATTTTCCAATATATTCTTTATTTCATATTTCTTTTCCTTTTTATTTTATTTATTTCTTTTTTTTTTTTTTTTGATTTTTTAACTTTTCTTTCCTTTTCGTTTTCTCTACTTTGCCCTCGTACTTTCGTTAATCGTTTTTTTTTATTTAAAAGAGGGAAACGTCATTTTTGTTTTTTATCGATCGCATTTGCATAATTAATCGATTCGATCATTGCGAGGTTTTCATTCAAAGTCTTCGACTCGTTTAAATTACGTATTTTCTAAATAATTTGTGTTTGGGTTTGTTGGAATATATTATTTCATTGTTTAGTTGTTTTCAAATTGTTTTAATTGTTTCCGGTGATATGAACGATGTGTATGTGTGTGCATGTATGCGATCTGTGCGTGGCGTTAATGTATATGAGCGAGACGCAAACGCGATTGACCTTTCCAATTTCGAGTTATCCGTTTCCAAGTGAGACCAACCGAGAGACTCGACTTCCTCAGCCTGTTTGCACAACGATGCGTCCCTCCACTCGATTAACCCTTTCGAGGTCAAGCTCGAGAGTACAACTATTTGCTTTTCCCTCGACAATGGGAAAAGGGCTCTCCCAGTCATACACACGCAAACACACAGTTGTTTGACCAGTGGGAAAACGATTTGTCGTTGGCTAGCCTCAAAAAGGTGTCAATTCTGTAGCCCACGAAGCTGCAAAAGGTTTCGAGAAGAATTTCGAGAAACGTTTTATATTTTTCATTCTTTTCATTTTTGTCGATGATTTTGTTTTTATCGTCCATCGTTAATTAAACATTTTTCTATCTTTCTTTTCTTTTCTTTTCTTTTCTTTTCTTTAAATATTATTATTATTATCTTTTTCTTTTTTTCTTTTTTTTATCTCTCAAGAAGAAATAGTTTAGAGATTATCCTTCGAATGTTTACCCCCTTCGAAAGATCGGGTACGCGATATTATAAACTTTCAACTTTAGAACGGATTAAGTTTTGAAAGTGTTTCAAAAGAAAACTTTCCTTAAGTATAGATTATCGAAATGATATGAGAAAAAAATGTTCGGTTAATCGTCGAGAGATATAGCAAGTTAAATCGAGACTTTCGAATTTTCTTTTTATTTATTACATTTCCATTCGATCACTTTCTTCGAACGGAGAGACGATCAATTCTTTTTTTAATTTTTCTTTTTCTTTTTTTGGAAGGCCGATCAATTATTTTAAAAGTAATTGTAGGATTCCTTGAAAATATGAATTATTAGAAAAATTGGAAAGGTCGAGGCTGCTTGCTTCTTCTCTCGATTATTTTTTTTTTTTGTTTCTTCGATTGGTATGCCGTTTCTACACGATTCTCGGGTCACTCATGATGGAGTTCTTCCTTAGGGTCCATCGAACTCGGGTCGGATATACTTAGTTGTACCGGCTCGGGCTTAGGAATCTGTTTTTGAAGCGTGGCGAGTAGCATATCTCGCTAGTGCAGATCAGTAAAACCTTCGCAGATCGGTTTCCCCGATGATTTCTGCTTCTAAAACAGAACACCAAAATGCCCGTGTAAGAAACAATTGTGTCATTTTCAATACTTCGCCGCTATTAAACTTGATTTTAATTTCAATCTAAAAGGAGACTGAGAGAAAGGCACGAAACAGGTCTCGGTCACGCGTATCTCGAACAAACAAACACATTTTTCTTTTGTGTGTTTTTTTTTTTTTTTTTTTTAATTAAAATAAGTAAAATGTTTTTTATTCTTATAATCATTTGTATAAGTTAAATCAGGAACGCGATAGAACGTATATATTAGTCGGACGTTCATACTGTTTCCTTTCTAGTAGAAATAACATAGAAAGCCGATTAGAGTCCGCAGCTTTTGGAAAGGACTGAAATTTCTCACAGATTCACTCGAAGAGGTGGTTCTAGACACAAAACTGGAGAGGGCACTGCAATACTCTGCGTTTGTTGACTCATGGAATTGTTTGCTCTTGAGGATGCACAGGGTCACCGATGCAAAGCTGCATATCCGTATTTGTGGACGGGCTCTCAAATAGTTGCCTGTTTGCTTACCACTCGAATCTACGCAAACAGTGACTGGCCCGGATCTATATCATAGACGTGCGCCGCCAGTCCACGGACTCATCCATGAGTTTTCATTCTAGTTCATGTACCTTCAAGTTAGCCCTTTTGTAACTACACCTTGTTAATTCTATTCTCATAACCTACTGGACTTTATACTACGAAAACGCTTCTATTACGAATAATATGATATTGTGGTTTAAAGTTATGGCACAAACATTTCAAACTCCAATTGAATTCTATTCAATTCTATATATATATAATTCCTCTGATATATTTTATATTTAAAATATGCTATGATATATTAACGAGAATTAAATTGAAAACAATTGTGATATAATTAAAAAAAAATTCTAAATTGCCAATCTACATTAACAATGAAGATATAAATACCTGTCTAAAGAAACCCTTTAAGGAGATAGTCTACGTTGTATAAGATCAACGACAGATTGCTGTGCCATCCAGCGGTAAAATATCGAATTAAATAAGAAAGTCTACTACTACTCCTAGTAATATGCAATATTCTGAACACGTGTATAAAGGATAATCAACATACGTTTACATTAACTTGATAAATTAAATGAAAACTATGCGAGTATGATTATAGACAAGTTACTTAAACAATATTGATCATATTATGTGAATAATTTTGTAGCCTTTCTCTCGAAAATTTGTACACGTAGAGTCCACTTTCATCGATCGATCGAATATTCACGTTTCTTTCTCTCTTTCTTTCTCTCTTATTAATCTTGAAGAAAACTATGTGACAGCCGGTTACTGATCAGACCCGAGTAGTCTTGTAGTTGTACCGGGACCATTAAAGAGAAACTCCACCATCGTGCGAACATCAACTGATGTATTCGCGTGGTATGTCGGGATAGATCGCGTCCGGATCTAGATGCGTGTTTGCAGAGTTGACTTCCGGCGCGATCGCGCCCTCCTCCACGTGCTATCTGACGACACTCACCCGTTCCTCGATAGCGACCTTCCTGCTCTTCCAGACAAACTCGCAGACTGCTATTACACAGGCAACGCCCATGCCACCCATCAGCACTACGAATACGCCACCAACATTTGCTAGACCCAACTCGTTCGCCGCTGAACTGCTCTTTGATGTATCGTCCTATATTAAAAATCCACCATTTCAATATTTTAATCCTGATAGATTTTATAACGATGTTCAATAATAATTATTAATCAATAATCTCTTTTGATGTGTGTGTCTCGTCGAATAAAAAAAAACAAAATATCATTTCGTCATACTCGAATATTTGAATATTTTATCCATACCGTACACTTTATATTCTATGTTCAATAATTAATAATCGATTCTTTTTTGAAATTTGTTGTTCCGTTTAAAAAGAAAAAAAAATGCATTATCATCCTAATTTCAAAAATAATTATTTCCAAATATTTGAATATATTTATCATACTACGTGTATGTGCGTGTCTTACGTACTATTTATTATTATTTTAATCTACAGAATTATGATATCCTTCGCGCGTTCATAACAATAAAAGAAAATTAAATCAATAATTGTTTATCACGAATTTGGATGTGAATTATTTGATATGTTGTACTACGTCAAAATACACGGATTAGTTGGGAAGAAAGATTTACAAAGACGAGAGAAATTTCCTTAAACCCGGAAACCGCGTGAAACAAGACGAGAAGGTAAAGGTAAAATGACGACTTTGTAAGTTTATAAAGCAATCTCTTTCTCTTTCTTCCAGCGTCTTAGAGAAACTAAAGGATAGAGATGAGAAGAAAGTAAGGGAATGAATTAGAGAGAAAGAGAGAGAAACAAGGATAAGTAATGTCGAAGGAACAAAGGTGACTAGATAAAGGAACGGAAGTATCGCGAGTAAGAAGTTTGCTTATGTTCCTTATTGGCTGTATTAGTGTAGAAAATTGTTTTCCATGAAAATAAGAGAGGAAGGAAGCAAATTTCCTTTCTCATCTTTCTCTCTCTCACTCTCTTTATATATATACATATATAACTATGTATATACATATACGTGTATCTCTCTCACCCTGCAAGATCCACCCCCTCGTTTCTCCTTCCACCATCGAGTCTTCAGTAAGTGCAGCTTCCCTTCTTCTTGAAGTTTCAATATGGCTCCGCTTATAGCAGTCCTGTACGGCGAATCTGAAGTTCCAAGGTCGTTCTAAAGAATTCACTCGTTCCAAATCCTCAAACTCTCAAACAACCACCCACCCACCCCTCTTCCCGTCCCTATTCTTATCCTTCGTACAACCATGAACTCTCTACTAGATTCTCTTTCTCGGCTTGTCTTTTATCGCATAATACGAGGAGGAAACTTGGTGAAGGAAAGTGTTTCTTCGTTCATTCGTTCGTTCGTTTTCTTCTAACAAGCAAGCCCGTCTATCGTTTCGTTTCTTGAGGTTTTATGAACGTTTCGCGAGTTATGCTTCGATAAGCATTCAACGTTGAAGATCGTTATCATTATCTCGTTCGTTGTTACTCCGTATTTCCAACGCGTAGATTAAGCGTCATAGAGAATGCCAGAGGAATAATTTCATCCTTCTAACGTTCTAGTAAAACCTACCTTCTCTGTTAACTGTTACCTAACACGTTTATATCCTTAATACAACTTCTGAATGTATTTTACGCCTACCGGGTAAAATATCATCGTTGTAGACTTTAAGTTTTACGTGATATCTCACTCAGCTTGCACGGTATACTCTAATTTAACCTTAATATTATATTTCATTTTTATTCATATTTTTGATCTATTTTATTTGAGATATTTGTTTGATAGGAAAATATTTGTGTATATTTATTTTAATTGTGTCGACCTTTCTAAACGGCTCATATCTCTAAATAATATCTTCTTTAATAGTTAGAATTATATTGATCAAGAATAACAATGAAAATTAGCAATATTCTATAAGAAACAATTTTTTTTTTCCCAATTATTAATCAAATTATATATTTTTCTATCATAAGAAAAAAGAAAAAAAGAAAAGAAGAAGATTGATTCGATCGAATCTAAATTTTGATTAAAATAAAATAATACGATAGAAAGTATTTTTTATATATTATAATGATTAATAATAAGTAAAATAATATAATTACAAAAAAAAAATATATATATATATATAATTACAAAAAAAATAATACGAGAGAATAAATTGGAGCGATTTTTTTTTTTGTATAACAAAATTCTCGACTCTATATATCCAGATCTCAGGTTCTATTTTGCATCTAAGGAAACGACTAGCACACCTGTTTGCTCGCCGGTTCGTTAAAATGTATGCGAGCTATTTCCCAGAGCTAGTAACTTAACACTTACTTGGTGGCATGGCTATGCCATATCCTTTCGAGTCCAAGAGACCGCCGACTTGAGTTAGGTCGCAGTTCCTCTCGATTACGTATTCAATGGAAGTGGATTCCATTAGGAATGCGTAGCTTCCCTTTCCCTTGATCACTCGATCTACGCCCTCGACGTTGCTCGATGTAAATACCGTCGGCTTCGCCGAATCCATGAAGGACCACATGCGCTGATACGTCGAGAAATTGGAATCCTATCGGTGGAATTTCATGATTTAGCACCGTATATGTATACATCTCCATCAACGTTACTGTTAACTGTTTCTAACAGATCTGTGTTTTATTTTGTAAATCCTATCGATCGTGAAACATTATTTTTCGAAAATTTGTATCTTCAAATTTTATCGAAATCATTGTGCACAGTTTACTGCTTTATCCCTAAGTAGTAAAGATAAATATTTATAGTAGAAATTATTTTGAAACTTTTATTCTATTGCATTATCCAGAAAGATTAATTTAATTAAGCACTGTTTTCAAATAATCCTATACAATTAAAGTTTCTCTAAATAATATTAAATAAATTGTTAAAGTAAATACATTAATATTGCACGTATTATCAGAACAATTGTGCACAGTTTTTATTCTACGTTGCGTATAAATATATAGAAAATAATTTGTTCTTTTTTTTGAGAGAAAGATTTGACTGTATTTTATCGTTTACTAAAATCAATTTAATATAAACATTTTTCAATTTATTATATATAAAATTTTATTTTTACAAATATTATTATATAAATTATTAATTGGATATTTTAAATTGGAAGAATAAAAGAAAGGAGATAAGAAATGTTTTGCACTTTTAAATGAATTTTTTCTTCCTCGAAAAGAAACAAAAGAACGATGATTTTGTATTCTTTATTTTTCTTCATTAATTAATCAACTTCTTTGTAACGATTAATTAAAACTAAACGAAAGTAAATCATTATCTTAAAATATATTTCAAAGAAGACTTACTTAATATCCTCTTTTTTGTCCTTCCATCTTGTCAAAGTATTCGCCCTAATTGAAAATTATCCAAGAACACCTTTTCCCCTCGTTTTATCATTCCCTTCCCCACTTGTCTCTCGTTTCACTCTCTAATCCTACGATTTTCTAATTCAATCTTTTCCTTCTTCTTTTTTTTCTTTCTATTTTAACTACCCCTCTCGATTCGATAAAAGGAAGAATTCATTTTGTAACGTATTTCCGATCAGTCTTTTCTCTCTTTCCTTTTTTTCTTTCTCTTTCTCTAACTTTCAAGCGTTTAATCATCCATCGATAACGATTTCCATGGAATTTCAATCGAGCCTTTTCTCGTTCTAGACATTGCCAATTAATCGGAATACGCTCGAATGCGTCGACGTTCGTCGTTTGGTTAACGAGAAACGTTAAAAGAAACGAAAAGGAAAATGTCAAGAGAAACGAGCACTTTCCTTTGAAAAGGATTAATGAAAAAATTCTTCGAGAAATCTTTGTCATTTTATTTCCTCTTATTTTTTTTTTTGTTATATAATTTCTTTCTTTTTTTCCTTTTTCTTTTTCTTTTTCTTTCGATAACTTACCCGAAAAAATGCAGCGGTGCTACCGCCCTTTAATGCGCCATATTTGATTTTCGTTTGTTTCGCTAAATCTTCGGCACTTTCGATTGGCGAATCCATTCTTTCGACGGTAAGAAATGCTGCCAAGTTAGCGGTGTAGGATGATATCATGATCAGGGTGAAGAACCACCACATACCGGCTACCATGCGAGTCGATACGGCCCTGGGAATCAAAATTTCAACGGAGTATCGAGAAACTTTTAGACTAGGAGGGGCTTGCTGATTTTACATCAAATTTGGGCTAGTATTTTATATGCGAAAATATACAATACAATAAATAAAAAGTAAGAAAATAGTGGACAAAAAAATATATGGAATAATAATAATAATAATAATGATAAAACGTGTTCGTACGTGTATCTTGCCTTTGGAAAACAAAAAAAGATTTACATGCGAAAATATTCGTGTATCGATAAATACTGTATCAGCCCAATAAAATTTTCTACGGATTTTTCCTTTCTTTTATGAAAACTATTTCGAATTTCATTACCGACGTTCTCTTTCTCTCTTTTTTTTCTTCTTCGCGATTTATTCCTTTTTTTTTTTTTTTTTTTTAATTTTTACTTTAATTTTTTTCTTTATCGTTATTTTTCCGAGAACATTGGCACGAATTTCGTATGAATATTCAGA